TGTTTGGCAACCCTTGTAGTTCGCTGGGTGCCCTTGATGGCATAAAGCGCATACAGCTGGTGTTCTTCTGGACTTCTGGCAGTCCTCTGTTTTATGTTTATCACCGCACCGGACACATCTAGGAATGTGGTGACAATAGCGTTTCGTATGACCATAAGCCTGGCAGTTATGGCATTGTACAATGTCGCGCTTAGTGTAGGGCTTTTCTACAACAACGCTAGTGTAGTAAAGGCGTGTGACCTTGTAGATGTCTTCGACCTGGGGCGTTCGGTCAAGGTCAACGAAGAATAGTGGGAGCGGTATTTTATTTTTTGAGCCAGGCTGTTCTCTATCTTCCTTGAATATATTCACTATTTGGCGAACACGGAACCCCATCTCAGTTAGTTCTTCTTTAATGGCATCCAGTGGTGTTGATGGGTGTAATCTCCTGATCACCACCCTGAGCGCTCTCTCTTGGCGCAGCTGATATGTGTGATAATCCGCCTTAGTGTCAGATAAATACTTGACAATTTTTCTGTACGTATCTGGGGTGTCAGGCATTAATTTCGTGTCATTAATGCGGCTTTGGCATAAGTATTTACCTGAGCCCACTATATTATTTAATTGTAGACACATTAATTGAAAATTTTTTATGTTTCTAACGAATATTGGTGGGGGTTTAGGTTCACTAGGGATGGGTACTGCTTCCATTTGTTCATTCTGTGTGTTTGACAACACTTGGAATGGATTAGCTGTAAAAAAGGGCCATTCTTCTAACGTACCTTGTATTGATATAGCTTGTGTTGACATATTTTGTGATGATGTGCCAGGTTGATTTTCGACTTCGTCAACTGAGCTCTCTGGTGTAGCTGGTGGGGTATTTTTTTTAGAGCGTCTAGCCCTTTTCTTGATAGGTGAACTCTTTGTGGTATCTAGACTCCTAGATCTTAAAGTTCGATTGCTACCTTTGCTCGACATTACCATGTGAAAATATCGCATCTCATGTTAATTAATTAAAGGTAAATGTAATAGTTTGTAAAAAAAAGTCTTTTATCAATAACGTACATATTACGCGAATTTGTGGAATTCTAAGAAACGTAGATGTGCTTCCGCCGAAGGGCAGCAGCCCACTGGTCGGATTAGCGAATGTATATGGCCGGCTTGTTATCTATCACTATCCTCAGGTCTATTTACATTGTTCACAATGCCGTTATAAATAAGTTATTACTCACCTTATTTATGTCCAGTTTCAACTTAATTGTTAACTTAACAGTTCACACTACTTTTTCACAAATAACATGAATTATTTCACTGATAATAAAGTCACTTTATAAGAGACGAAATAAAGAGTGTATGTGTAGGGTTAACGCATGCGCAGACTATTCGGTACCAAAATTATACGAACCAGTTCTGTCGTAACTACATCAATATGATTTAAACTCGAGATATTTGGATTAAGATAAGTCCAAAGAAGCTATTCCATGACAAGAATCGGAAGTTTCGGATTTTCAAATGCACTACAGTCCGGTAACCATAACCATCCGTTAAATACGGTAGTTCTGATTGTTTGTGGTGTCCTTCATCATTGAGTATACTTGAAGAGTCCGGCTGACTAGAACTTGAGTCTCGATTCTGCAGCAAGAATGCTTCAATCTGTCGATAGTCACGGTCTTAGGACCGTTTGGAAATTGGAGGACGAAAGTCTTCTTGTTACTCTTTAGAACCTTATAGGGACCAATATATCGTGGAACGAGCGGCTACTGGACCGGCAAAAAAACATGGGAAATCGATAACAATTCCGAGTGAATCAATGTCTTCTCCTTAGATGTCCGATGGGTGGTCGGCCTGAGATCTCTAATTGTTTCCTAAGGTTCCTAACAAACTCTTCCGTACTTTACCGCAGTGTAGTATTCTCTAACAGTTCACCTGGCAGCCGCAGAGGTTCTTCAAGGGTCATCCGATGACATAATCCTGTTAATGGAACCGATGACAAGATCATCCAAATAAGCATAGACGAAGTCGAGTCCGCGTCAGACTGTATCCAGGAAGGACCGAGCTGCAGATCGACGTCCAAAGCACATCCGCATAACCTCGAAGAGACCAAACGGGGTTATGACGGCCGTCTTTGTAATATCCTCCGATTGGGATCTAGGCTCGCTTCAAATCCAACTTGCTAAAGACACGTTTCCCATTAAGATTAATGTTGAAATCGGCATGTTAGGTACAACATACCTATGAGGTCTTGAATCTTTGTGTTCAGCCGCCGATAATCGCCGCAAGGCCTCATACCTCCATCCTTCTTGAGAACTATATGCAGAGGATTCGAAGTTTGGCTACTAGACGGACAAATAATACCTTCTTCCAGCATTTGTTCGAATTCACGTTTAGCTGCCGCGTACCTTTCAGGATGCTGCCGTCGAGCCTTCTCTGTTACTGAGGTCCCGTGGGTCTCGATATGATGAACAACTGATTGCAGGGGTTCTTTAACAAAGGGGGTGAGATTAGTAACGCTTGGGTACCTTTGAAGGAGTTCCGTGTACCACATGCTTTCAGGGACCGAGCATATCGCTGGCTCTGATATACCCGTAAGTCTATCCTTAGACGAAGAACCTGTCCTCTTATCCACTAATTGGCATCCCGCTAGATCCACCATAAACTGGTGATGAAAGAGCAAGTCTGCACCAAAGCTAGGTTGTCCCACTTATGCGCCTGGTTATTCTTCGTTGTGGTTATTCTAAATGCAACTCAGTAACGCTTTCTCAGTGAGTGGAGATAGAAGTTTCATTATCTGCATACAAGACAAAATTCACCAGGGTTTCTCTTCAAAGACTTCTTAACTGGAAAAACTGAGAGTGCAGCTCCAGTGTTCACCAAATAGCGAGTACGGGATTGGTGGTCAAAAACAAAAAGACGGCGGTTGACAGGTCAAGCAGCAATTTCTACCTCAGCTACTACTAGTTCTAGATTCCCGACGGCTTTGACTCATTCTTCCAACTGCACAGCGCCACGCACTTCTTAGTCCTTTCGCCGAACCTATCAAGATAAAAGCATAGCATCTTTATTTGATTAGTTGATAGAAGCTGGAGATCAGCTCCCGATCCTGGCTCGTGGGCTTCTAATGCAGCCACTCTTTCTATCAACTTCTCTAGAGTGGAAATCGTCTTCTTAAGTAAGGTGGCGAGTTATTTTAACTGCGGTTACTTCTCCTAATGGAGTCTTATCTCTGCTATTCGGTCGACTATTATGCGGAATATCTCTAAGTCCTGCTGGTAATTTGTCGTCAGGGCTACTTGATACTCTCAGGGAGTCCGTGCAACCAAATGGACTTTATGAGATCCGCAGTAACCAACGTACCCCTCAGCTGTTGTAGATCCCTCAAGAAGGGCGAGGGCCGTCTGTCGCCGAGCTGTTGTTTATCTAATAACTTACGAATACGTTTGCTACGGATTCTCCATAGTGCCTCATTATCCTCGATCGGAGAATCTTATAAGCATCTTCCGTCGGGGGTTTGTTTTAGTGAAAAATCACTAAGTGAATAACCTCACGAATGGTTTCACTGTCTCATTGAGACACCGCGTATTGAATTTTTTTTAGTATGTTTTTACTCCGTTTAGGGAAAAAAACTGTTTCTAATTGGCAAAAAAAAAAAACTTCGATGATATTCTTATTAAAAGATGGCAGCTGCATCCTAATTGGAAGGTCTCCACTGATTGTGAGGTTAAAACGGGGGCTTTGGTTTCTACTTCTAAATTGAGGAGGTCAAATACCTGTTGTGAATTCATTCTATAGAATTTATCAATCTATTTGGATATTAACATGTAAGTATAGTTACTCACCGTTGTATACTCACATCGGGGTCATTACTTTAGTGTATATGATACGATCTATGATCTAATCCAATAGCATACATTAACAACTCGCCACCTGTGCCTTTTGAATTAACATTGAACTACTCCGCTACAATATATAACATTTCAAAAGAAATTTTTATTTTATTTTTTCTATTATTTTTTTTTTTGCAGGAGAACTGATTGTGTACGCAATTGATGCCTCTCTGGAATGAAAGAATGATGAAAATTTAAAATTCTTTGCTATTATTTCATTTGTCAACGATAAGTTTGTAAAGACTTTTTCAGCAAGACGCCCGGTTTTATTCTTCTTCTATTTGTGTTTGAGGAATTAATTATGTAATCCAAAAAAACAACTAAGGTGTTTTAGATCAAACGATAGAAGTGAAACATCAACAAGGCCAGATTAATAATATCTAACATAAATTATAAATAATAGATCATTATAAAGAGTTTGAAATGCTGAACAACTCTTTCGCTTACAGTATATGCGTCGTTATTTGCACGTTAGTGCAATTTTTAATCATAACCTATTACTGAGAGGATGAAATGTTAATCAATTTTGAACAGTTGAACAAAACTATACATTACGCAGGCCCGATTTTTAGTTTCTGAGATATTTTAATCCATTTGTAAAAACATTTCAATTAGTCTACACTAGCCGACTTTACCCGAGCGTTAACACCTCGGAAATTAGACGGATTAATCTAATTCACTCTCTTTAAAAAAGTGCAAAATGCGTTTCAAGAAGTTTTCACTTCAAAAAGTCGTGAACCATCACTTGTTATACCATCAGACTGATGGTATATAACAATGATGACATACACCGATCGAATTCTAAATGATTTCAAAATGTTATCCATTGAGTCAAAACCAGATCTCTATTAAAGACGTGAAATAGCCGATAGATTATGATTTCGACACCACAAGACAAACGCTGTTGACAAACGCTGTCTCAATAATCCACCACAATCGAATAAAGCACAGCGAATATGCCTAAGTTTTAGAAGATAAATTATTAAGATTTCATATCATACTAAAAATGACATGCCAACAGGTGCCCTCACCAATCATATGTTCTGAATTTATCAAATTAGAATCTATATAGGAATTCGGAAAGATGAATGACTTTGCCGTTATGTATATCAAATAGGTGTGTATTATATCATATGTTTTTAACAAACAGTAACCATTATTGATATAAATAAAAACTAATTAACTTCGTTGTAGTCATGTTTCAAATTACTTAGAGTAGTGCTAGACCAAAAATTCTCTTTCTGTTTTCATGTTCTCACAATGTCAGAGGCAGCTTCAAAATTGATTTCAAATACTATGCTTCTATTTAGTTCTTGCCTAGGACTAAAAACGACTCCACGTAGCATGGGGTACGCAAGGTGTGCCTTCAAATTATATACTGTTTCCAGCGTCATCGGTACTTTTTCTGCGCTGTTTTCTTCACCAGTGCTGAATGATTTAGATGAGGTACAGAAAGCATTGAATTTGCATTTTATAAATAGCAATTTTCGCCTGAATTTCATCATCAAGGAGATTGTATAACTTTAGGGAAATCTATAAATCAATTTTTCAGCCATAAACTTATTTTGATTATCTTTATTAATAAAACCATTACTTTTATTAATAATTTCCTATCCAAAGTGACATCCCTGATAGACCAACAGTGTATTATTGAAGTAGAGGATCACTCGAGCATTCCGTGCTGTTTCTTATGATATTGTATTCTTTATGACAACCGTACCAATTAACCTATTGTTGAATCAGCCCTATCGAACCTACCAACTAAATCAAAAAATGACCGGATGCTCACGCGCAACGGTTGGGAGAGAAGAAAGAGCATTTTAAGGATGACAGAGATCGTGGATGCATCAGCCATCAAGTAGATCAACTATCTGGTTCTCTATATTATTACGTGAATAGCCAGCAATGCAGTGGTTGTATATTACTTCACTTAATTGTTTACTCCATCTGGTACTTCATAGCACCTTTCAAGTTAGACATGAATTAATCTCCGTCTATAAAAATAGAAAATACGTTCTTTTTATTATAGCATACATTTTGGCGCGTTATAAGGCTTAGCAAAGGTTCGATCACAAAAAATCATAAAAAAAAAAAATAAATATCTTTTTCCACTGGACAGCTTAAACAGTGTCAACTGCCGTTAAGACCTCAGTCTCAACTGTAATGGCTCCGTTAGAGGTTCGTTGAAATGAGTGTCGAAAGCAGGGATGTAATACAAAATAATTAATGTTTCGATTTTAACTGAAAAAAAAAACAGTAAGGAGTTTGCTAAAATTCGTAAATCGCTAAAATAGATGAAGGGAGGTTATACTTTGAACACACATCAATCTTCCGCTATTTTCGGAATCCCATTTACGGTCCACTCACCATAATGGATGACAGTCTTACAGTGGTATCTTTTTAGTCCTTCACTAACGAATGAAATCCTCTCGTGAATCCATCTTTGGGTCAGAGATGAACAAATGCTACTCTGAGTACTAAGTACCGTGTATTTTACTTAAATACTGACCTTTTTTGTATACTAAAGAATTTAATTACTACTTCAGTTGATGTCAAACGATTAACTGATTTAGTGATTGAATCTCCAATAGTGAGTCGATTTGAGTAAGATACCTGGTAATCGGAGCAGCATTTGCCCATCTCATCTTGGGATATATTTTTCGACACAAAACTATATTTTCTAATATCTCATAAAACTGTCATCCCTTTACCATTTGCGGTTATTATTCGCTCCATTAAATAATAAAATGAAAAATAACTGTCTTGTAAATTAAAATACTAATGATTTCTGGATAGTACTGAATAATTTTGCAACTGACAAATAATTAGCATTTCACTTCTTTAAAACTTGTCTTGTCTTTATTTCCTCTTGAATTTCATTAAGTTTATTTTTTTCCGATCCTAAATTCATACCTAAATTAATACCTGAGAATAAGTAAAACTGAGGCCATTGAATTGTATCTCATCATTTTCACAATAATAGGATGTCCTCTTGAATGTTATAATAGTATACTTTAAGAATTTGATTACAGTTTCATATAAATAATTAAGCTAGCTAAAACAGACGGACAGATTATCATTACTTCTTTTTTTAGACAATATGGGTGTGGTGCTACTGCTTGGGTATTCCTTTACTCGCTTGTGACCTCTGCGTGCTGTCGGAATACGCCCCAGACCCAGCCCCCTTACACTTGGCAATTCCGTTATATACACTCGTATCGTATCATTACTTTCCTGAACATGTTGATCCTTTGTTACTGTCAATATCACATTCGATAAGTATCTTGTTCTTGTCAGTGTGTTCAGCTTGTGAAGGCCATCTCTGCGGATACGCACTCGCTTTCCTTCATTTCTTTACAATGTGGAGGTAAAAATAATTATAATATTTTATTAGTTCAAAATGCTAATTTAATTTATAAAGATTTAATGCATATCCTGACATAATTTGTGAGTGTATTCATTTTTAGTTAAGGAACAATAATAATGTTTCATTATATTTTTAAAGGAATTTTTTTTGGGTATAATAATTTTATTTATTTCTAAAAATGTGGAGCTCCTCGATCTCTTACATGTCATTTTAGTCCTTACACAGTATTTATAATGTAAACATAAAATTTAACATTAAACTTGAAAGTAAAAATATTAAAATTTTCAAAAAAGTAAAAATTGCGTTTTTTTTTTAAGAAATAAAAACATTTTTTTGCCATTTTTGTGATGTTTTTCAAAATTTAATAGACACAGCCCTAAATTACATTATATACAAAAATAAGTGGATTTTTAATTTTTATTTGTCTACCGATTATTATTGTAGTTTTATTTCTATATCACATCAGAGTTATTTTTATTCCTACTATGAATTGAAAATGTCAGTGTCTGTAGTTTAAATAGTTTATTGAAATAACTTTTATGCTAGAAATATACACATTTTTTTTTTTTTTAGAATGGACAGTGATGAAAAAGCACATATTGATTGGACTACACACATGACGATGTCGAATTTTCTTGCCCTGAACGTGATAGGTAAATAGTTGTTAAGATACATTAAATGTACTTTTGAATACATCACTCGGGGTCAAACCGTAGGTTTAAATAAATATTTACACTATTTGAATTTATTTATGACTGCCACTTCGGACCATCTTACTCTATATACACGGTCAAACATTATGTATCAGTATTTTTAAATAGTTATAAATTACAAAAATAACTGTATGTGCTGTTTGTATAACATTTAAACTTGTATGTAATATATAAGTGAATATATAAGGGATCTTCTTTCCATTACAGCTGACAAAGCATATATTATAAAGCTAAAGCTTTCTTTTTTATGTTTTAAAAGACACTTTCGACTTATCTTATTCCTCCGTTGAAATAAATATCCATGCAAGGATGAATAAGTAATTATACACAGTTATTTGGATGCTTGTTATGGATTTGACTTTTATTGTTTTCTGTATATGCAATTCTTCGTGTCTGTTCGTAACAGTAAAGACAATATTTCGACAGCTACACTGAAATAACCTCACACCAGCAGAAACGCAGGTTGGCGTCGATTCAGCGGACTGCTTTGCTGCGAGTCCATAAGTCGTATCGGAGTGTGTCTCATGTCTTTAAAAGAAAAGGCACAGCAGGTCTACCGGAACATATACGAATGAGGATTGTCGAAAATGGAAAAGACTAGTCCAACAAGATACAATAGATTAGTGGAACCGGCGGTGGGTGACTACAGCGAAAGGTTCTACTGTGAGGAAACATTTCCCCACCGTCCAGTCACGATTAGAAGCCCAATGGATTATCTCGGACTACCGGGTCTCACAATTCCTCACTGGGCGTGGGGGTTTCCGTGCTAAATTGCATGGCTTTGGAAAGAACATCGATCCCATATGCCCCAGTTGCGGAGTTCTGGACACAGCTGATCATGATATTGTGGACTGCGCTGTCTTTGATGCACTTAAGGCTAAACTTCTGAGGTAAACTAGACATCCTCTCTGAGAACGATTTCCCTCAGTTGGTGACCGAGAGGAACTACCCGTTCTTCAAGACCTTTATTTACGGATGGAAAACCGCAATTGGCTCTGCTCATTTTCATATCCCAGAAAGAGTATCATTTGCTGGACGACCGCGGGACAGAGGAGGCGAAGAAGAAGAAGATGGAGGCCACCTGGAGACATGCTGATGACGCCGATTTATCATGACCGCTGGATGTTAATTGGCAACATTTGCCTACCCCGCAAAGTTGCCGACACCCGTTTTGCCCAAGGGCAAGGAAGGGAGAATAAATAAATAAGCCACAGTGCAAAAGCCTGTAAGTACAATTTAATCAGGGTGTGTGGTTTTGTGCTTTCCCGGTTGATCTTGGCCTCGGATATATTCACAAAAACAAACTAAAAACATTACATCGTTGTCTTAAGCAATAAAAATTGAAAGGAAAATGTATTTTTTTTGTGAAAGCTATTATACCCGATTGTCGCGTTGCGGCGATTAGTGATAACAGATCAGATAAGATCTAAAAGATGAAATTTAATCCGCGCTAGCACCTAGATGCACTCATCTCATTCCAACGCAGAAATCCCAGAGGCATCCACTAGAGCATATTGGAGGGCCTTCTCAATATGATCTTAGCATGAAAGCAATATGAGTTTAATATACACAATTCATAAAACCTACCACTTCATCAAAATACAGCCCACAGCGAAAAAAAAGTTAAATGTTGCCTATGTTGAACTCATTAGAGATATTTTCCTTTACTTTAATTAAATTTGGAGAGTTGCCTAAACATGTACATCATAAAATAAGAAACACGCGGTTTATTTCGCCTTATAAATAGTATTGCACTTACATGATTTTGCAGTTTGGCTGTCGATACAATTTATTTTTATTTGACTTCATTATTAAATGATTTTATTTATATCGTCATACTGTTCTTTTTTATTTTAATATTTAACATCATTCATATATTTTTGAAATTTATGGTTAAAATTTATGTGGTTTTCAAAGATTATTATAATTATTAATTTTATTTACATAATGTATGTAATAGGTTATCGTGTAGTTACTCATTCAAGCAAGCATCATTATATATAAGTTTATTCTCCTTGCGATAAAGGTCACATTTTGTAATCTACAACTGCTGTAATTATACTAATAAATTATAAAAAATAAGGGGTTTTTATGCTTTATGTATAAAAATAATCAATTTTTACAAAAACCATTTTGCTCTAACAGCAGCGATATTTTCTTTGTTATTAACATTAAAAATTTATGTTTCCTTTTAAATTTCCAAACTAGGCAATTATTTTTCGGAGGTACTCTAGTTCGAACTAAATAAAAATTTCTAACATTACTGTCATAACCAGAATGTTTCCGCAGATATTTCTTCCTTTACCTTTCTATTATTTATTGTTATTATACAATTAATAACATGAAATGTTTAAAACTGTTCCATCATATCAGTGTAATTCTTCTTTTCTTAATTTTCAGAATGGATAATAGAAGAAAAAAGAGAATAAACTAAAAAAAAAATATCTTCAGAATAAAAAAGATCAAAACAACCATAAATAAAAAATATTTTAATATATTTGTTGCTTATTTTGTATACAATTAGGGGTTTAGTTAATTATATTAAATTTCAGACTCTCAAATGTCTGTAAAGAAAAAAATGCAAGTTTTCTGACACAAACATTGTATAAATATAATGTTTGGTAATAGATTTCATGAATTAATCGAAATCGTGACAATATTGAACTGGAACAATCTGTCACAGAACACGGCGACCCTTTCTCCATGGTTACCCGAACTCATTCCCACATGATTGGCTTGAAAGCTTTCTTTTTCGTCTCGCATTCCTAACCTAATCTTTATCTTGTTTCGTTTCATATGTAATCGAAATTTATCAACTTCGAAAAAACATTTTGCTAACGTTAAAACAGCTACCTAGGAGTTTCCGTTCTCAACAATGGAACTGTTATACGAAGAAACTTCATCAGGAGCAAATGAGAGGTTAGTTAAAATTCTAAAATAAAGTAAACTAATGAAGAAAAATGTTCTGAGATGGAGTCAATGTACAATACAATGATTGTAACGCGAACATATAAGAAGATATCTTAGGCAACACTCTCTTATAACGTTATAATGTTGAATGTTTCCTAGGTTAATACTTATCCACGTTATTTTTTATCTCATGTATCGTTTTATGGCATTGATTTTAATTGGTGTCAATTTAATTCCATAACTCCACGAGCAAAACAACATCACGCGCCTCAAGCCTCCTTACCCCAGTCCTTCCATCCTCAGTATCAGACCACCTATCTCAATCTAATATATCAAAAAATAACATCCCTTCCAAAAATGCATTCTTAAAGGTCAAGTTACCTCCTCAGATTGCACCACAGACCAATCCCAAACATCTTGATTTATTCCTATCTTCCTTCCAGTCTAAGCCTTTATCAGAAATCCCTTTACCTCCATAATATTATCCTCTCTTCCATTTAATATAACATTAACAGATGTATACTGCCCGCCTGGTAATTCCCTTTCCTTTATTAATCATATTGATTCCTTATTCCGTACCTTTGGTCCACGCTTTGCTGGAGGGGATTACAACGCTTAAGATCAACGGTGGGGATGCCAAACGTCCAATACACGTGGCAGGATACTTTCTCGTATCACATCCACTAATAATTATTCCATTGTGTCTCCCAAGAACCCTACTTACTGGACTACATCTCTCAAGAAACGTCCTGATATTCTAGATATATTCATTATTTCTCAAATACCCTCCTTTCAATGCTCAATCAAATCCTTAGACGACCTTTCATTGGACAGCTTCTCATGAATTCAAGTCCTATTCCTATCCTAAACCCTCTCCCAAAAACATCACTGATTACAGGACAAGTAAACTGGGACAACTTTCAACATGACCTAGAAAACAATTTGGATTTAAAAATTCCGTTAAAAACTAAAATTTAGATTGATTCCACTATTAAAGAACTTACAAGAACTATAGAAACCTTCATTAATAACAACACATGACATTCCAAAATTAGAAATTACCGAGAAAACAACCTACCACATCAACTAACACCTACATATTACTAACAAAAAAACGTCGGACAAGAGCCAAGTGGCATAAAACCAGATATCCATCGTGCAAAGTCTTTACAATAAACTGACAAACAAACTAAAAATAGAAATCAGAAAACACAAAATCAAAATTTTCAGAACTTTAGTGGAAATCTAACTACCACTGACATATCATTATGGACAACCACTAAAATGCTACTCAATTTCAAAACTTTCAATCATCCACTCCTCACTAAATGACAAACCTGTTCAAGATTTGACGAAGAAAAGTCCCAAATATTTGGTGAACAACTTTTCAAAACTTTTAACCCCCATCCCGATATCCTCAACCCTATCCATCTTGAAGATGTTGAAGCAGAACTTACTATCCCTTTGCAAATGTCGCTTCCTCTTAAAGCATTCTATCCTTCTGAAATAATTAGCAAAATTCAGAAATTACAGTAGAAAAAACTCCTGGTCACGACCTCATCACTTCCCGAATCCTAAAGCAACTTCCTCGAAAAGCTGTCCTTCCTCTCACCTATATGTATAACGCAGTACTTAGAACCATCTTTTTTCCTGATTCTTGGAAATTCTCCATAATAAAAGGATACTAAAACCCAAAAAGCCACCTGAATACGCACCCTCTTACTGTCGTATCTCCCTACTTCCCTTTATGGGCAAAATATTATAAAACTGACATTAAAACGCCTTTATCCAATCCTAGACTCATGTGATATGAGTGATTTCTGACCATCAGTTTAGATTTCTAACCTCATTCCACTATTCAGCAGTGCCATCGTGTGGTGGATGTCATATCCTCTACACTGGAGCGCGGAATGTACTGCACGGCAGCTTTTCTCGATCTGAAATAGCCCTTTGATCGAGTCTGGCATTCAGGTTTTCTATACAAACTTAGTCAATTCCTGCCTCCTACATATTCCTATGTACCAGATTCGTTTAAATAGTAACAATAAATATGTCAAATGTTTTGAAGACTTTTTGAGGTTTATGTATGCTATAAAGTATAAAGTTATTAGTAAAGAGATAAATAATTTTTTTAACCTTCTATAAAGTTAAGTGGATTAAATAAGATTTAAGACTTTCATTCTGTTGCCATATTTTTTTTCTTCAATAATTCATTTAAGTGTACAATAAATAAATAAAAAAAAAAAAAAAAATATATATATATATATATATATATATATATATATATATATATATATATATATATATATATATATATATGCATGCATGCTGTATTAAGGTTGGGTGCACGTGCTCGCATCGCGTCCGAGCTGAAAACTAATTACCTTAATGAAAGGGTGTTTAAGGGATTCTTAAAGTCCTATTGAATGTAATTACCTTCTTCTTTATGTTCTTCCCTACCTCGGCTTATAGTCTATACGGGATTTTTCCGAGTGTTAGGACGGGTATTTTAAAATACGCTCCGGCAACGAGACGCGAACTCGTACATTTTGTAATCTCATAACTTTCGGTTATTTGGTTGCCGGGCAACTCGCGGTGCTATGCACATGCGTTCGCCCAATCGACCACTCTGCCCCAAATGTAATTACCCAGACAATAATACATTTAGAGATAATTTTTTTCATAAGACATAGTTATATTTTGCAATTTTGGGGGTGCTTCAACCCGAAAGCCACCTCTTCCCCTCCATAGATCCGTAGAGAGGTTTCATAGAGAAGGTGTTTCACACGGCCGTGGTGCGGCTCGAATGCGGTGCGGATATGTGTGTCCAACCTTTGTACTCACATAAATTAGGTCACGTTAATAAATAAAGTATTTATTATGTCATGCAATGAAAAGAAAAAAAAGTTTGTTAATTGCATTTTTAAGTTTCAGAAATTAAATCAAGTGATGGTTTTAAATTAAAAATAATAGAATGCTAGTTATTTAAATGGGAATCGATACTGAACAGAATTGAAATAAATTCTGTTGTTGAACTTGTTATAAAACGTTAACTTCATTAGTTAGCTGAAAGAGGCCAGCTTTGACTGTGCCAACAAATTGGGTACCTAATTTTAACAGATACACACGTTTATTATCCAACAACAGGTTAATTTTGCATGCAGAAATGCACGTTCATCCTGCATCATTGGTAATTTCAGAGGATATACTATGATAAAGGGGCAAGAGAATGAGAAGGAGAGGAAGAAATTGGTAATAATGAGATGGACGAAGTGGGGAAGGTATGTTGGCCAGGGTGTGCCGAAGGATTCCAAGCGTGCCAACCTACATCTCGTCGCTACAGGTGCCACTGCCTTCCTTATTGCCCTTACAAATTATTTATATAGCTTCCAGATGTGTTTTTATTTCGTAGTATCCTCCTTTTTTTTTATTAGTTTTAATTTACAATACAGTCTTGTGAACGAGAAGATTCTTATAAATAGTTTGATTGTATGAAGAATCGACATATAATCTAAGAACTTAAGTTACCTATTATATTTTCTGTGTTTAAATCATTAGAGAGGGAGGATACAAATTATTACGTATATAGCTTTAAGTATCGAAAAATCAAAGTAATAAGAAATTTTAAAAATCTGGTGCGATCACACAACTGTCACTTTTCATCCTACTTACAGTAGAAATTTATTTATTTTTTTAAATTTAGTAAACTTTAAGCGTATTAATTTGATTATAAATTCAAATTTTAGACAATTTTGTGCACTATCTATTCTTGGTTTATTTAATTGAAAAAAAAAATTGTTTTTCCATATATTATTATATATTCCATATAAAAGTTGACATCATTAACTATAATTAAAAATAATTAACTTTTCGTATCCCTCCATTATCTTATACGATTATATTTTTTTAAATATTCAGCTTTCCAACGAAATGTTTTACGTATAATTTACAACTCTTATCTTCAGAATTTTGCTTCAAACTAAGGAAAATGTTCCTGCTTTTACTAATTATTAAATTTTTTCCTTTGTTTATTTAAAGTCATTTCTTATTACTACTGATATTGAGAGACCTTTAATTATTTCTAATAAACGAAATTAAAGGTACTTCAAAGGGAAAAAATTTTGTATTTAAACCCGGCAAACTATGCCAAAGAGGATAAGACGTAACTGATATTAATGACCATTCATACCTAGAACAATGTAGTTCATTCAAAATTGTTAAAGTAACTTTCGAGAAAAAAATTGTAAAGTCAATTATATAGAAGTGGCACTTCTGGTTAGTCGATTTTAGCAAAAAAATGTTGAGGTATGATCTCAGCTAATTTCAGTATCATACCTGTTTTAGTTTTTGAGCTAAGACAGACATGGTTATTCGGTCCACACCCCTTTCTCCAATTTTTTATAAAGGGGAGCTAAAAGTTCCACTGGCTTCCCTATATTTACACAGTTATTTACTTACAAAAGAGAATAAATCATGCAAGTAATAATTATATAATATTACAGGTGAATAGACTAGCTGGATTATTCTGTATATGTCGTCTAACCTTGGCCCCTAATATCTACCAAGCACCGCGGCTAA